GATAGTACAAAGTTGATACAACTTTATACTAAACCAGCGACCGGTAATATGAATCAAGTAACAAAAGGTTTATCATTGGAAACTTATTTCAAATACTAATCTATCAACATAATTTTTAAATCTAATGTCAAAGTTTAGCACAAAATACAAAAAAAAAACTCATAAATCTGGACGGAGGCAGTAAAACACAGCGCCATGTCCAACGGTGCAGTTGGTCAGTAGCAAAACAAAATCCGGTTTGACTTCCGTGGCCATGCATGAAGACAACGTCCACATGACCGTGACCATTGGCACGCGATTCGTTTCTCGGAAGGCGCGGCTAACCAACCGAAACTTGGAAGCTTTTGGAACCTCGACCGTTTCGGCGTTTCCCATGGACATGCACATCACCGTGCACCAGTAAAAACACCTGCACTGCACCAACAACAACAGCAAAGAATAATTCTCCCTCCCTCTGATCTTTCATCATTCACTTTTCCATGCATTGCCCCACGTCATCCTTCTGGACCTTCCGAGGGAGAGAATAAAGAAAAACGGCGCCTTTGAACGGCTCTTGTCCTCAAGTTCAAGTCAAGACGCGACGTCGGATCGATGCTCCACATCTCAACACAGAAAACAGGAACTGGCACAGGACAAAATGGTCGTGTATACCTGTGGCGAGTTTTTTTTACTGGGGTGCCGCAGATCGGTCACACGATGATGCATGTTTGTGCAGGCAAAGTCAGTGGGCATGTTCATTTTTTATGTTTGAGATGACTGAGTAATAACTAGCTAGTGTGAATTGTAACTGGAAGCAGCATATTGGCGCTTCGTTTTTCCTAACATGAGCGACACGTTTCACCCTTTTTAGCTAGGTTAACCAAGGCCCGAGGCAAGTGACTGGTAGGGTTATTAACAGGATCTGTCGGCCGTGACAGTTTATCAAGCGCAGGAGTCGTTCCAAACTTGCCCAGCTTGGCTGTTAAAAAACAGCTGATTAGCTTAATCGGTCCGTGCTAATCCATAGTTAACGTGTTGCAATTCGATTGCACTTGGGGAAAATGGGAACCAAGACTAGGTAAGATGCATCTCTTTTGTTTCTACCACGTAGCACTGACAAAAGACAAGTGTGAGCTATTTTCTGGGGTGTGAGATCGAGGCTCTGGAATTGTCATGCTAGATTTCATACTGAAACTCAAACAGACAAAAAACCTGTGATCATCCAAGGAGAAAAGTTTTTTTTAAGCACGTTGGTTATTATATTAGCCTGGGCCTGGCCGCAGATGTTTGGTGAGCTCTGAAATGTATCTCTTCTTTCTTCAGAGATTCAGATTGATGGACCTACAGAAAGCTATATATATGAAAATTATATCCCAGCCTATTACTCCCTCCGTCCGGAAATACTTGTCATCAATCAAAAATGAATAAAAGAAGATGTATATAGATGTATTTTAGTTCTAGACACATCCTTTTTTGTCCATTCTGATGACAAGTATTTCGGACGGAGGGAGTACTATTCAGACGACTGCCGGGTAGCAAAATCACAAATGTATTAGATATATCTGGTTACTATTTCTGACGTGGATTCAGATCTTTAAAAAAAATATTCTGATGCCTTGTGGAATTCTTTGTCACCTATCTTGTCAAAAAGATGGGCATATCATCTCCCCTCTGAACCATACGCATACATCAGTGGAAGTCGAGTTGCTCACTTCTTTCGGTACAGCAGTTTTCAGTATTCTGTCCTGAAACAGTACATTAGGAAATTCTGTCCAGCCAACTTATAGGAAAAATGAAGCAAAGATCAGGGCCAATGAATTCAACATCAACAGACGAAAATGTACTTTTGCACCGATTAATTCATCGAAGACTGTACTAGTTCTTAGCAACATTGTTTCAGAGATTAGAGACACTCACAAATGCCGCATAGTAAATTTCCTGATAGTGTCAAATGTGGCAACAGGCCTGCATCTGATGACCCCTGACTCACCACAACTGATATGACATCGAGTGGTTGAGTGCATTATGGTTGTCCCCTCTTGCTTCCAACCAAAATCCTACTATCAGGTCAGAAAACGAACTGCTGCAAAATTATAGCAGCAGCATAAGAATAGTGTGATACAGTATATATATGTACTAACAATTGTACCTGGTCCTGGACAGAAGGAGTAGCCGGGAAGCCAGCTCAAATTCGATATGATCGAAAGGGTCAAGCATCCACAGTTCATTCCAAGTTCCCGACCATCGCATTCGGTGTCCAGCGACAGAATTGTTCCTTTCAGGTTGGCCGGCAGTGTCCTTCCATGAGCCAAGAGGATGGGAGATAGCTATTGTGACTGTGTTCAGGTCTGCTCAAGCTACATAAATCCTCGTCACTGTCAGTCGTGTTATGCATGCATGTTGTGTTCCTTGTTTCTTGCGATTTCTTCGCCGCCATCGATCCCCAAGTGGAGTGGGAGGAACTAGGCTGGAAGCAAAGAGACCCAAGATGAGGGACCCCATTTTTTTTGAAGTTCTCCTGCTCGTCCCACGGACAAGATGATGGCCAAGTACTGAGGACTCAGGAGGAGCACGTGCAGATGACCACCCAATAGTTCTACTTTGGACTGGACAAATGGCAAAGGGTTGAATATTTTGTACTACTATGAGACCTTTGTGTTGTCAAATTTGGACCCCCGGCAGAAGATTATACTCCCTCCGTCTCAAAATAAGTGTCTTAACTTTGTACATATTTTGGGACAGAGGAAGTATTTAATATAGTGATTTCTATGTCACCGCCTGGGATGGATACTGCGATTCAGTCCTGTGATGAAACCTTAACATCAAAATGATAGACCTTGAATCGGAGTAGGCTAGTAGATCCGGTAAACCTACCTTCTCCTGGTGTGGATGAGCTCGATCCAGCACCGGCCATGGTGATGTGGTGACGGCGGCGATGTGGCCAGAGAGATGGCAGCGGTAGTGTGCTTCCCGTGAGCACCGCGCTTACCCTAGATCGATAGGGAGTGTTCGGTGGGGTTTGTGGCAGCGTTCAACCTCGTGAGTCGTGCCCCGGCCCCCACCTCTGTTATATAGCGCGGGTCACAGAGGCCCACCAACCATGGTTTGGTTGGGCGCCCCTGATCAGGGCGCAAGTCAGGGGCCCGTTCGACCCGTTGGATTCGAACGAGATAGAGATCAACCTAACACAAAAATTGTCTTTGGAGAGATCTATGATCTCGTCAAGAAAATCGACCCCGCGAGTCACATGATCTGGTCATCAACTTGAAGTAATGGTTAATTACTTAAGCCGGCTGCATCTTAAACACATGCTGATTTAGTCCGAGGATAATATCAAGGCAGTGATTCAGGGTTCTTTCATCACAGAAAGAATTAAGGTAACAGTGCTAATGTGCTACCTTAGGATTTCGAACTGCCTTGATGCATTTGCCTGAACAGATCGACGAGCTGCGTTGCTCATCATCTTCGTCAGATATTATTACAAAGTTACACTGAACTTTATCAATGACAGGTTGAATGTTCGACGAACTTCAAGCATTACCAGTTTACCACAATGGTTTGCGGTCTTTCTAGGTTCTTGATGAGCATGCTCTTAATGAAGAGTTGAGCAGAGTTAATGCAATCTGCATTGTATGAAGAATGACTGCTACTACATGCTGATGACTCATACACTAGATTTTGACACTGCAACAATGTCAATTATGGATTGGTCTGGACCATTTCTGCAGTCATCGACTAACTGATCAACAAAAAAAGTTGGGATACTGTTCAATAGCTTCCATTTGAACATTCTTCATTTTCTAGAACAGCATAATAAATACATCTGCGTGCCCAAGAAAATGAGTATTGGACGGTATGAGTTGCTTGAACTGAATTGTTCTTTAAAGTTTCTGACTTCCTGCCTTCAGCATCAGTTATTTTTCACCGGGCTGATGGCAAGAGTTGAATTTTTGGGCATAAACTTGCTGTCGTCAATTTGCGCAAACAGGATTTCAGACAAAAAGGCAATGAATTCTTCAGCGTGCCCAAAAAGGTAAACGAGTAGATGATATGAATTGCATGAAATCGTTCTCTGAATTTTTCACAGAAGTTATTTCTGCCAGGCTGATGACAAGAGTTCTTTTTGGAACAAAACATCTGTGTTTTCGATTTGCATGAACAGGGGCTGATAGATTAAATGAAGTATAAGTTAGTTTGACATACTGTAGTGAAACAGCGCATATTTAACTGTTACAAGTCGCGCTGTGGATATATTTGACAAACAGTTGTCATTTTGGTAAGATATAGCCTGAACTCCGCCTAGAAAAAAGGATATAGCCTGAACTGGAACGGGAAGTCTAATGAGGCTTACAATATATATGCTTCTTTTTACAGAACACTGCAAATCTCCAATGAAGCTTTCAACTGGAGCTTAAATGTTTGATGTGGATTGTGCAGCAAAGAGATTCAGTGCAGACTTGTCGACAAAGAATGTCCACTGCTCCTCTCCATGCTATGCATTTATTGGTAGCTTTGACACTGCAACAATATAAATCATCACTGTGTGCTGAATTGGACATTTTGGGGGAGCTTTATGGCCCTTTATATGAATTAATAGGAGCTTCCCAAGAAGAAACAGAAGGCCGAAGAATTGTTACAATAGAGATAAGATCAACCTGATGTATGACACATCTTCTGACAATTCGATCGTGAACAGTTTATGTTCTTATCAACGATGACATTAAACAATGGAAACAATGAGAAACAAACTGATAGCACACACGCATATCAGTAAGCAATAAGCCCCAAATGTACAATCTTTCGAGCAAGACAGCCCAATGGTCACAACAGAAGGTTAGCATAATAACTGAAGCCTCTGGGTAAACTTACATCAGCCACATAATTAAGTCACTCGGTTTCCATAACGTGTACCTTTGTTCAGATGCACGGTGTCAGCACAACAATGTTAATGATGCCAATGGAAAGCAAATCACTACCTCATCATGATCAATCCAAAATAACTTCCATCTCGTATACACTGGCTAAAAAATGGAGCCGGATTTCCCCTTCCCCATGAGCATGTCCTTGGCCTCGTTTATCTTGGAAGCAATGTAATGGCTGCCACCACCATCAGGGTGGTTGGCTACCATTACCCTCTTGTGGGCCTCCTTTATCTTGTCCAGTGCAGCACGTTCTCTGAAGAAACGACAGTTTCATATTTTCAGCATCTCAATGTAACTCAAAAAACAACTGTACATCATTTCAGTCGCACAGGATTTCAGCGACATTATCAATATACAGGTTAACAAGGACATGATGAAGAAGAAACATCACCTTACGCCAAGGATCAGTGCGGCTTCTCTTCTGCTCATCTCCCTCTCAAATCCGCCAGGATAGAATTTACGCACACGTGGCATCGCCGCCCGGATTCGAAAGGCCTGCCATGCCTGAATCATGAATCTGCTTCCCATCGCAGCAGCAGCTACCGACAGCCCAGCTACCAGCGGCGTGGCCTGTGGTACCAGAGAATGTTCCAGCACACTGATTAGACCGATCGATGACAGAGCTAAAATTCAGAATCATACTCTCAACATGACATGGCTAAGTTTCTGAATTATGTGCAGGTTCAGTTATGCATTCAACATATATACACAATAATAAAGGAGAAATTCATCTTCATATAACTGCAAATTGTACCCAACCAAATGATTCAGTTCAACCACAGGTTCCTAAATCCATGTCAGGTACACGAACCCAGCCAGGCAGACTGCTATCGTTGTCTGGCACTGTTCGTCTGGACCAGCGCGGCTAAGGGGGGTCACGGCTGCTGCAGTGAGCGACTGCTGCCGCCTCTCCGGACCAGCGGACCACGCTGGCCGCCGGGACCCTGGGATGGCCCGATTCAACCAACCCGCTAGCACTGGGCACGCTAGCAGCCCCGCCAGTAGCGACCCGGTCGCCGTCGTCGACGGCGGAACAGGAGACCCGATCCCGAATTGGGCAGGACGTTTACCAGATACTGTCGCTGTTCCGCCGTAACTCTCAAACAGCCGGCGGACCCGACCCGGGAGGGACCTCGCCTTGGATTGTACTCGACCGCTAGCTGCTGCCCCTATCCCTCTATCTATATACCGGAGCCGCGGGGCACGGCAGGAGGAACGACAGCGACGCCGGATCTTCTGTAGAACGACGCGAGAACGAAGGGCCGGGGTGGGGAGGAGGGCGTACCATGGCGCGACGGCGGCGAGCGAGCGAGTGAGCGAGGCGGCCGGAGCAGTCCCGTCGGCGAGCTCGCCCGATTCTGCGGAACCGAGGGGGAGGAGGCTGCGGGCGCGCGAGGTTTGGGTGCCTCTGTGGGCCGGGGTGGTTGCGGATTAAGGCGAGCGAGGCGGCGCTCTTCTTGTGCAGCAAGAAAGAATCGAGTGGAAAAAGGAGGAGGGGTCGGTTTCCTTCTCTTTTTTCTTTTTTTTCTTTTCGTTATAAGATGAGAAATTGGTTGGTTCATCTTGGGGAAGAAGAAGAAGAAGAAGAAAAGAATACGCGGCGGCGGCGGCGGAGGGCACGCGGCGGGACGCTTCCGGAGAAGGCTGGAACACGCGCCCCCGGTCGTTCGAGAAGGCCCACGAGGCCATCAAAGAACAGGGGAGCCTTCGCTGAAAGCCGACTCAAACGGGCCGGCCCACTCTGCCCGTCACACGGGTTTCTCTTTTTCTTCTTCCGTTTTTAGTCGGCCTTTCACCTAAAAAAGCTACATATTTTTAGGAGCTACATTAAACCTACGAAAAGTATTCTTAGAAAAAAGATCAGTATGTGTTACATACTATACAAAAGTCCAGTGTACATAAAGAAGCTTAATCTATATTCAATGAATGTTCGGTGTGTGTCATAAAAATGTAAATCATATAATTTTTTAAAATTATATTGTACATAAAAATAAAAAATATTAATCATATACTAGAAACATTTCCACTATATTAGTAATAAATGTTCACCATATATTTAAAAAAGACCTAAAATTTAAGAAAATTTAAACGATGAAAGAAAATAAAAGAAAACCAAAATCTGAAAAAGCAAACAAAACAAATACAAAAACGAAACAGAAAACCAAGAGCAAAACCACACACACACACACAAAATGCGCAAACGTGCCAAATGAGCCAACCCATCTTGCCTCGCGTTTCTGGCGCACCTATATGATTCAGGTGGACGTCCCATAGGATTTTCCAAGATTCTTTTCCCACCACCGGAACTATATCTTGCCTATAGTGGGTATAACTATCATCTCGTCTGATATGATTTTCCAAGATTCTTTCCCCACCACCAGAACTATATCTCGCCTATAATGGGTACTAGAAGAACGCCCGTGCGTTGCAATGGGGCCACATTAACTTTAAGAGTTCAATATTAATCATGTTAATAGTATATTTAATATTCTCATACATATCCATCTTATTAGGTACGGGATGTAGAGGTTAATTGTTTCCTTTGTTTGGATAACTTCCAAGTTCCAAGTTCTAAAATTACCCACGTACATGAGAACTAAATAATTTTAGTTAACAAAAGAAGACTACTACTCATGAAAAGTTAATCTGCGTATTCTCCTTGACAAGTTAAAAAGGTCATATATATGTTTGCATGGCTCTCTATTCTGTAATGTTATTACATAAAACTCTTGTTCAATTAGAAAAAAGTTATAATAAGCAGCAAACATTAAAAGAATAGGTGTCTGATTCCAGCTCGTGCTTCTCCAAATGAATGTGTCACTCACCTAAAGAACTACCAGATTACGACCAATGCCAAAATTTGGGTTGTCTTCTCCCAAGAAATTTGTACAAGCCCCTCGTCATTCTTCGTCTGATTGCATCATCTAAACCAGGCTAAATATTTTTACTTTACCCATGTGAAATTATGCATCAAGTAATCAGGTAAACAAGTATAGAACGACATGCAGATGTAACCTGACCTTTCACCTTGTTAGGGAGTCCCTTCAATCCAAGAATATACAACATCCAGAAGAAATAAAATCAATGTCATAATTAGTAATCATTTTTCAGCGACAAAAGATAAACAACAATTGAATTTTTAAAACAAAACCCGCAACTACACAAGTATATTAGCACAAGTGTGGATCCTGTCCCACTCTTCATTTGTTCACAAAAAAGTTCAGAATAGCAATCTTGGCGAGCCCCGTGCAAGCATCCCGTGATCTCGGTCGGGATCGATCTGCATGGCATGCTGCCGATTCTTCCAAGAGTGGGCGCTGAAAGGAATGATCCGGAACCTGCATTGTCAATCGGACAGAGCTGCATCGGCCTTCGGATCAGAGCATGAACGGGATCGAGGAATTTGGAGGAAGTGAGGGAGTAGGATGGAGATCACGAGAACTCACCCATATCTTGGGTCGTGTTAGTTCTTCGGGGGCTGCCACGGGCTATCCTCGTCGCCATCGGTGACTCCGCCACTATAGCGCCATGAGCGTGGGATTGAGGGACGAAGGGAAGGAAAGGAAGCGAATTAATGACGTACCTGATGTTTGGTATGTAATAATCGGGTTAATTACTGTTATAATTCATTGAGTTTGTTTCCATATATTACACTTTGGCGCTAGGAAGGTGGGACTCATATTGTAAAAAAAAGGAAGTTCGCACTGATGGACGAGGAGATCTCTTGCCTACGATTTCAATTACCAATTACCGAATCCGGCTACGCTGATTGCTCTCGATTTACTGAATTAGAACTTGCCAAAATATTTACATGATTGAATTGAATCGACACCTGCCAAAACAAGCACGAATAAATGGAAGGAGAATCGGACGTGATTCGGTTTTAAGTGGGAATAAGAAAAAGTTAAGGTGGGAGGGGTGGTGAGAGATGAGACGAAAATAAACCAAACGAAAAAACCGACGAAACTGGGAGCCTCAGTACAAGGTTAGGACCTGGAGTGCGTGGGGGCGGGTGGGGGCCTCGGTACGAGGTTTTTTCGGTTCGTGGCGGCTCAGTGTGAGGTGGGAGCAGGTACCAAAAAAAACCATGAAAGGTGGGACGAAAAAAAACTGGAAGCGAGACTACCAACTGCTCCATTAGGAGTAGAGATCGAGTGATTTAAGATAAGGTTAATTAATTTAGATTTGATTTTTAGTGATTGTTAGTAAAGTATGATGTGTCTTTAAAATCTTTTATTTGTTTCCTTAAAATCTATTATTTGTTTCCTAAAGAAATTTGCAATAATGGAAGGTATCGGTTGATTTGAATAAGTTAGTAAATTTAGATCCGTGATTACGTGCACGTTTGGAAAGTGCTGATTTGCAAGGAAAGAGCTGAGGGGTAAATAAACCGGTGAATAAGAAACCAGCATCGAAAAAAAATCTACGACGGTTAACCTACGAAAAAAAACCGGACTAAAAGTGGTGGGACGAAAAAAAACCTGGAAGCGAGACTACCAACTGCTCCATTAAAAGTAGAGATAACTATCATCTCGTCTGATAGCTTTCCTCCCTAGTGTAGCTGCTCGGCCAGCTCATTTCTCTTTATTCCGTTAGCTGTGACGCTCGCTCGTGAAAGTTGTTCCACCGCTCCACAGTTTTGGTTTGCTTTTGAGAAAGGGGGGTTCTGTTTTTTTCTTCTGTTCATTTATCTGGTTCTCTCTTTTTCTTTATCAGTTTTCTATTTTTTTACATCGGGCTTCTTTACTTCTTTCATGGTTCTTTATTTCCTTTTTCATTGTTTTTCTTTGTTTCTCTCTTCCTTTTTCACTGGTTTTTATTGCTTTTTTTTCTTGTTTCTTTCTTGGTTTTCTTTTTTTTCTCGTTCATTTCTTTGGTTTTCATCATCTTTCTTTGTTTTTCTTTTATTATTCATCACATGTCTAAAAATTTTGGTCCACATGTGTACATTTTTCTATGCGTTAGGAACATTATTTGCATATGTTTAACAATTTTACAAATGCATGATTAACATCTTTTATAATTTTATGTTTGAGGACTAATTACATTTTTATATATACCAAGAAATTTTTGTAACATGTTTAACATTTTTAAATATATTATTAATACTTTTTATACATCACCAATATTTTTAATACACGTTCTATAATTTCGTATACATCAGGATTATTTTTATACACCTTTAAAAATTAACACGTGATTAACACTTTTTTCATACACATTATATATTTTCATATATATTTGAAATATTTTTTATATATGTTTAACATTTTTAAATGTGTTATTTACATTTTTCAAACACACGTATTTGAATATTTGTTGTTCAAATATGTGTTAAATATGTTTTCAATAATTCTTGAAAAAAAAGCTGGACACTATCAACATTATTTATAAGTTGCACCAGCATTGTTTAACACTACACAAAACTTTTTTTCATATTTAAATATTTTTTTGATATATATATTATGTTGTTTTTAAAAAAAATCGAGTAAGCCAAATAACGAAATCTGAAAAGAAGGGACGGTGTAACCAGACCGGCCAGTCCTGGTCTGTCTAGCTTGAAGCGAGATATATAGTCTCACGCCCGTTTCCCACCGTTTCTGCACAAGGTAGGCTAGCTAGTAAGCTCACATCAGCGATGGTCTGCTCCTGTATGAGGGTTTTCTCGTGTCGTGTCGCCGCCGCGATTTGAGAATTTAGGTCCCTTCGCCTCTGGCTACCATCTTGGCACTCAGTGGTGGGGGGACTTTGGATCTTCAAGACATTTATGTTCTTCGTCAACTTCTAGTGATTATCATAGTTGTGTAAGAATTAATTTCCTCTTATTTTTCTGGCGATGCCATGAGATTAGAGAGTTTTTTTATCCTTGTAGATCCGATTTATTCGAATATGGTGAGTTTTTGTTGTGTCAAGCTTTTTCTGTTGGTTTGATTCTTTGAGGAGATGAAATCTTTCGACATCATGGTGAAGATATAGTGATTTAATGGCATGCATTTCTAGGGGATCATCACCAGTTCAAATACGTTCATCGATGAAGGCTTCCCATCTTTTTGGATGGATGACTCAATGCACTTCCAAAAACCATTATTGATAATGTTTGTGTGGGTGAAATAACGACAACATCGTTGCTTCAGTCCAATTGCAGCCTCTTTATTGAAGTATTTGGTGTATTTCTTCAAGCAGATATTGATACCCCGAAGAAGGTGTTTTCAAGAGATTTCGTTATAGTTCTTAGTCATAAGAGTTATTTTGTATTTTCTTGAATCTTAGGTCCAAATCAGTGTACCC